ATAAAATTATAAAACTAACATGTAATTAATGTTGTTTAATTTACAGTAGACGACATGGAGGTGATGTATATGCATCCCGGACCTTCTAGCGATGAGCTACTATCGTTACAGGGCGATCATAGGTCCTCCCACATATGGGAAAGAGAGTTATTGGCCCAAACTCTCCGCGTCAGGAGAGTGGATGACATGTGGGACTTTCTGAAGGGCAAAGTTCTCCATCCCCGTATAGTCAGACCCCTGCAGAATACATGCTTCTATAGGATTTTGGAGATCGGGCGGCTGCAGCTCGATTGGTCTTTGATCACGGCCCTAATAGAGTGGTGGCGACCGGAGACGCACACATTCCACTTGCCCATTGGCGAGGCCACCATCACACTGCAGGACGTGGAGGTTATATATGGGCTGCCCGTTGATGGACACCCCATTTCTCTGCCGCATGTCATGAGAGAGCTGACAGGTGGGCAGTACCTGGACATGCTATAGCAGCTCACTGGTTTCCGACCACAGGAGGAGACTGCACTGGCTGGGGCCAGTCGTCTGCAGCTGACGACTATCCGAGACCATTTGGAGGTATTGCACCCTGACATCACAGGCGATACACCGGAGCTGCATATTCACCGGTACACGAGGTTGCTGCTGCTCCTTATGTTTGGAGGGGTCTTGTTCCCGAACACTTCGGGGAACCTAGTCAGCTTGAGATTTCTTCATCATCTTGAGCGGCTAGATGATTTACCCCAGTACAGCTGGGGTGCTGCTGTTCTCGCCTACTTGTACAGGAAGATGTGCCGGGCGACCACGGGTACCCAGCGTGACGTTGCTGGATTTTTGTCGCTGCTACAGGTGAAAACATATTCGAATACTCTATTCATTATAACCTACCCAGTAAAAATATATCTTAAATTTTACGTCCACTTTGTATGTTAGGTTTGGGCGTGGGAGTGGTTCATGCAGTTGCAGCCACCTCTACCACCATTAGCTCCGGGTGTACCACCTCCGTTTCTCCCTCTATCTAGGAGGTGGGTTCTACGGCATGGATATGGACGAGAGTACGAGGCTCGACATAATTCCCCCTTGTGCAGGGATTTGTTAGATTTGCTGGAGGGCGCACAGGTAAATGTATACCTAAGTTTACTTGGCCTGGCTTCACATGTGTTGCGTATACTCACGTTTTCTGTTGTTACTTAATAGTTCATCTGGAGGCCATACAGCGATGCGCTGATAGCTGGCTTGCCCGATTATTGCTCGGCCGGCCGACTTATTTGGAGCTCTTCCGTCCCGTTGATGTGCCTTGATATTGTGGAGCATCATGACACTGAGTGGGTACTTTGCCAGTTTGATCGTCCGTAGCTTGTACCGCCACCGCCCACCTGGCAGACCACACATTTCCAGTGAGATGATGGTTCCAAGGTGGACCAGGCATATGTGGCATGGCTAGAGGCGCAGATCGACATGAGTGTCGTCTATGGATATTACCGACCGGCAATGCAGAAAACTATCAATTGCTGGTTTAAATGCCCAGAACACGTATTTGAATATATATTCTGGTATTCCCGGACTCCGCTCAAGTTTTCATTCAACAACGGTCCCGGGGTTAAAGTATTGCAATGCGGCCATGTACTTGAGTAGAGCTGCAAATGATTTATCCCAGTTACCATAAATAATTTCAAACGCACGTTTGCGCCCGAGAAATGCCTTTCTTTTGGTAATGGTACAACCATATTCCTAGTGGACGGATGTAATGCACTATTTGATCTTGTACCTTATGGACGCTTCAATGTGTGAAATCGGGACAAGAGAAATCAAGTCAACATCCAAGTTGAAGTGATTCCCACTGAATGTGTCCATTTCACAAGTGTGGGTGCTAATGTATTTACCCACTTTCCACATACCTGTTTTCTTCTTGCTCGCACACAGCATCCAATGACAACCCGTAAAACATCTACGACAAACAACCTTGTATATATCCAGAGTTGACTCCCATACCGTCATCTCACGACACTCTTTTATGCTGTACATTTTTACCGCCCTGCTTAGGCGCGTTTTATCAGGAAAAAGTATGACCTTTGCCAGCACCGTTGGTATAGACTCATCCCACATTGCTGTCCAAATTTTGTCAGTATCCCTTGTGAGGGCATCCATATCCGGCATACTTGGCAAATGATCAAGGTAGGGAATCTCCCTTGAATAAAACGACACTTGGGACTCGTACACTCTTGGTCTAACGGGGGTGGAGCATGCTCCTTCGTCAAATAAGGTCCAGCATTCTCTTCCTCCTCATCACCACCTTCATCAGGGAAGGGTGTGTCATCTTCGGACTCATCGGCATTGTTGTCATAATCACTGTTCTCTTCCTAACTCTGTGCATCTGCCAGATCCCGATTAAATATGTCGTATTCGGGCAATTGAGTCAGGATATGAGGTTCAACTTGCTCGTTTTCACTGTACAAACAACAAAATAATGAGCTACTCAAATTGTCAAACACTTTACATATAGCTATATCACTTCACTTACAAGTCGTAATGTGTTGACATCCCATGATGGACATTATCCTGTAGGTGATGACTCCCGGATGGACCACCATGATCTAACACACCAGAACTACGCATATTCCAACTGGGCGTGGGTTCATAACTTATAAAATTCATATCTGGACGGTACCCCCTATGGAATATATGAGTGTTAATACAAATTCAATACAACAAAAATAAACATCGTAACATAAAGAAAAATTGAAGTTTACCACTCGTCTTGTGGATTATGTAAAGTTGGAGAGAAATTATTTCCTCGCTCCTCATTCGCCCGTGGAGATAAGTTTAAATCAGGCCAAACTCTTTCAGCCGGAACCTATTCGGCAAAAACTGCTCCAGAATAACCACCCGATGACTGAAGTTTATCCCTGCTTTGCGCAACCTCATTATTGCGAACGTGTTCAACTTTCACGTACATTTCCAACATTTTTATCAAAAGAAATTCCCGGTATTCATCCGGAGTCCTCAAAAAATCACTCAAAGTTTCATCATCCTCGATGTTAAACTCAGCGTAACAAGCAACTCCTTGTGGAGTGACAGAATACGGATATCTTTCGGTTACTTTAAGGTACACCGAACGTTTGCTCATACTCATTTTGTTACACAACAACGATACCAGTCTATCGTACTCCATTGTAAGTGGCAACTTAACATGACACTGTGGAGATAAACTATAGCTCACTGAGTTATTCGCCACCACAACCTCACCCCACAATATAATGAAACCCTTACTTTTCGCTCTTCAGACATTATGACAAATTGCTTGAGAATTTAACAAGAAGAAAAATTTAACAGGAGTAGAGAATATTTCTGAATGGATTTTTATAAAATCCTTAACGCCTTTAAATAAGGCAATGCCAAATCTGGGGGTCGAATTTTTTGAGGTATAACGCCCTTTTAAAGGGCGCTATACCCATTTGAGTTATTGTTATGTTAGTTAAGCGCAAAAAAATTATTGGTGGGCCCACAAAATATGTATAGCGCCGTTTATAAAGACGCTATATCTACCAGTCTAATCAACTTAATGTATAGCGTGGCATTATATATATTTTGGTTACAATATTTGTTATGTCTCATTTTGGTCATTTGAGTTTAAAAAGACCGCGTATAGATTCCCGACTCTACATATTCTTATATTGGCTCCACTCCACTTTCTCTCCATATTCCCTCTTTTTTCATTCATACTCTCCGCAAAGGAAGCTATAATGGATTCTTCCAAATGCGGGTCCGGGTCTGGGTCTGGGTCTGGTTCTGCTTCGGTAAAAACTCCTCTCTTTCTTTTCACCTTTTTTCATATGCCTACTGCTTTGATTCCTAAAGCTTTTTGAAGTTTTTGAGGAATCCCTTTTTTCCTATATGTGTTTGTTTAAACTATTTCACTGATAAATTACTTACATTATTTTCGACGAAGAAGGGTTTTGAAGATAAATGCATGCAACTGTGTTTCTTTTTTTTTTTTGGTTGAATATATTTTGATTTTGGGTTGTTGGGTGTTTGAGAGACAGTGGTGAATAGACTCTGTGTATGTGTGTGTGTGTTTGTAAGTTCTGCAGTCTCTACTTCTGTAGTTTCAGATTTCCCATTTGATTATAAACTTTGTGCACCTATTTTCGAAAGTAATGTGCTCCTCATATGCTTTTTTTTTTCATCTCCACTTTGCAAAGCATGAAAGTGGAATGTTGGAATTAAGGAGTGAAATGGAAAATAATGGAGGATTGTTTCTTTTCTAATTTAAGGGAGAATTTGGGGGAAGGGGCGGAGTCGGATTTAAGATTTAAGCTTTGTGGGTTCAACATTTAATGTTCTTTAACATTGAATCTATTATATTTTTAAAATTAAGGTTCATATCTCTTAGGGATAATTTCAAAGATCTCCCTCCAGGTTTTGCCTCATCAACTTCCCTTGTGATTTGCTATATTACCCTTACCTCCCTTATTTTGATTTTTGTAACAATTATATTAATTTATTTTCATTAACAGTAAAAAAAAAATATCATCTGACTGATTTGCCTTTCTTCCTAACATTTTGCTCTTTTGAATTTATTTTAATGAACATCTTCTTCAACAACAGAGCTTTCACATAATCTTTGAGATGACTTTCACCACTTCTGTATGGTCACTGCTTTTCATATTCGAATTATTAAATTAAAATGAAAGATATAAAAACATTCTGATAGAAGGAACAATAGTTAGATGTCTTTAATACCAAATAGTAGAAATTTCAATTGCCAAACATCACCAGATAGTAGAGTTTCAGTTATCAAACATGAGAAGGAAAAAAAGAAAGTAGTAACTAAAATAAGGAAAAAGAAAAACTTTAACTTTTCAAACATTCGTGACCTCGTAGAGGAACATAAACGACGAGATTGTGCACACATCATCGGTGAGTGTCTTCATATGAAGATTAATTGCTTTTACATAGAAGATGATGAGAAGACCTATAAAAAAGCTGAAGTGCACTAACACAGTCACGCCTAGCGTAACTTTTTCTGTTCTAAAGGAATTAATTGAAGAAGATATTCATTGAAATAAATTAATCAAAAGAGCAAATGTTAGGAAGAAAGGCAAATCAGTCAGAGCCTATTTTTTCCTATTTATGAAAATAGATCAAAAATAATTGTTACAAAAGATCAAAATAAGACAGGTAAACGTAATATCGCAAACCACAAGGGAGATTAGTGTGATGAGGCAAAACCTCTGAAATTAACCCTATCTCTTATTTGTTGCAATTTTAGTGATCTTTTACGCATAAATTATGCACCGCGTCAAAAGTACGGGGTTCAGACGAACTCGGTACCAAAAGACTACATCCGCATCTGGGCAGGGCAGGGAAGGGGAGGATCTTTCATTACATTTATAGTGAGAGTTTTGCTTAATGCTAAGTCTCGTGTCAAAGAAGAATTAGTTTCTTTGTTGATTGTGTAAAGTGGCCTGAATTTTGGTCGGGCCAAACAAAATAAGGCTATAAGGAAAAGCTTATGCTTTGTCTCAAGGATTACTCACCACCATTTTCCTTTTTATTTTTATTTTGTGCTAATTGATTGATTTTTTGAAAGGGGCTAAAATGATCATAAATAGAGGATCTCATTTTCATTTTGGCATATTGGATTCTAAAACAGAGAGTTTCTGTGAGAAAATATTAGGGGAGTACAAACACTTATGGATTCTTTCTCAGTGTATCTATATTTGGGGTTGATTAGAGTTTTTTTTAAAACTAATTTTATGCTCTATTTCTATACAACAACAACAATAAGTATGTCTCAATCCCAAACAAAGTTAGGTTATGCTCTTTTTCTATAATTTATGATATAATAGTATTGCTCCCCTTTGCCTGTCGAGGTAGGCTTATTGGTCGAATCTTGTAAATTCATGTGATAGCCTTTTGACATATTCATAGGACTTCTATTTTGCCATTTTGTTTTGTGCAAGATTTAGGAGCTTCAAGTTTCTTACATTAGAATTGTTTGAGGTCAATAAGATAAATTCACCAATGTGGTTATCGAAAAAGAATTATCTTCATCAGCACTTGTTCATCGATTTTACAACCTTACTGCTCACTTGCATTTTCTTTTTTTTTTCTTAGAGAACTGTTTGTCTAACATGTGGGGATGAAGGAGATGCCAAGCTTCTTATTTACTGCTTCAAGTGTCACGATTCTGCTGTACCTCAGTATGTTTCATCAGTAAATTAGTATTCAATATTCTTTATATTTCTGGTGGATATAAGCGATTGAAATAGGTTAATATCAGATATCATAGTTTTTCTTGGGCAGTTTACTCATCAGCATTCTTGCCTAGTTTTGTGACTGCAAATGTTTGTTTCATGTTTTTTTAAAAAATTATTTTCCATCTCATTTGAGTGGCTTATTCTATGTTTCTACCTACCAAATTCCACTTGTAGCTCGTAGCTTCAAAGCAGAACCCCATTCTCTCTCTGAACAGATTTCCAGTGATATATGAGCAATTGAAACAGGTTCATTTATGATATTATAGTTTTTCCTGGCCTACTTACATCATCAGCCCAATTGTTGCCTGGTTTTGTCGCTGCAAATGTTTGTTTCTTGTTATTACGTTATTATTTTCCTTTCATTTGAGTAGTTTATTTTGTTTTTGTACCTACCAAATTCTACTAGTAGAAAATCACAGCTTACAAGATTTTGAATGTTGTTGGAAACAAAACGTCTTTCATATCTTTACAATTATTCGTAACTAAATCAGAGTCAAAATGCCTGATGCAACAGAATCACTGTATGAGTGAACAATGCCAGTTGTAGAGTTTATGGATTTCCTTTTTTTTTAGCCCTTTGTATACTATAGAATATAACTCGTAGTGTAACATCAATTAAGAACTGATTAAAGGTCTTCGTCCTCTCTTCTAAAGAGGTAATCCTTAGCTCCACGTTCCTATGATCATACTTTTTCTTTTCTCCTTTCTCAGATTCTAGCAAAAATTCCGATGAATGTTTTTGGTCTGAATATTTCCCTTCTGTTATTGCATGTGTATCTAAATGCCCACTATTGGCTTCAATATCACGAATGTGTTTGGTCTGTATATTTGTCGTGCTGATATTGCAATGTGCATCTAAATGTGCCTATATTTGCTTCAATATTACACCACAGGCTCTGAAAAAGATTATTATCTCTGCAGGAGCATTTCATTTCGTTGTTCTTTACTTTTGCAGCTATTGTCTAGAAAAATTCTCCGTTGATGATGACAGTATCGATTGGATATGTTGCGATTGTGCTCTCACAGTTGCTAAGGTTGAAGGGTTGAGAAAGAGTGAACGGATAACTGTGCAAAAGATTCGTGCTATTGATGTTCGAATGGAATGGGGAAGAAAGCTTAACAGTTGTAAACTAAAAGCTAAAAGAATAGATAAGGCTAAACATGATGCAATTGGAGCAGTCCAATCAGCTACAACCCTTAGTCCTTTTCACGGTTTGCAAAAGGAGAGGCCTTCATTTCATGAAACTAAAGAAAACAAAGACATTGGAGAACGATGTGGAGATGTATGCTATTCTGAACAGCAAATTGAATCAGTAAAAGCAGGGAACACTCCACTAGTAGGAAAGCGCCAGGAGGCTTATTGTTTAACATTGAACAAAGAGGAAGATGGAATGGTGCAAAGATCTCAATTAAGAGGTGACTCTTCTCTGCGAGATCCAAAGAGTGCTCAATCGCCTATTGAAATTGGAAAACAGCAAGATATCAGAAAGCGAAGGAGGAGGTTTGTAGTTCTTGATGATGACAGTGATTCTGAGGGAGAAGGTGGGGCAGTTGGTGGATATTTTTCTTCTTCAATCTCTGATGAGCATTATTTTCCACTCGACAATTCATATAATGGACCTCAATTAGAATCTGCGAATTATTTGCCTGCGCAGCCAGTTATTGAGCCCATTTGGAGGTAACACTTTAACTTCCACCGCTTTAGAACTCATTCTTCACTTTAGATTTGCCTCCCTATGAAAGGCTTTTTCAGCAATTGCCACAAGCACTTAGATCTTTATTTCCTTTTCTAGGCGATTAGTTCTCTCTGCTATTGCCTCTCCACCCCTCTTCCCCCAACTTCTTGGTGCAACCTTTATCTGTTGTTTTTAAAAGAAGAAAACAAAATATTAGTAGGATTCTTTTTTGAATTCAAAAGACAAAAAAGAATTATTTATTCACTGTCTTTATGTTAACTGTAGGGGATGTTTTCTCTTCAATAGAGAAAGGGAAGCCAGTATAAATATCTTAGCTCATATATCAGACAAAGCCTGTGAAAATGCAGCTAAAGCAGCAAAGGGGCTTCCAATGAATCTTGATGTAAAAATTCTGGCCAAGAGTGATGTATGGCCGAAGAGTTTCCTGAGGTCGCCACCAACAGACAACAGTATTGCTCTGTATCTCTTCCCCGAGCTTGAAAGGTAACTTCTTATTGTAATTCACTCATTGAACATTATGATCTGGATGTTCTGGAACTTTGTCTGATAATACTGTTTTAAAGGGATGAAAATTGTTATGATGCTCTGTTGGAAGAGGCAATTGAAAATGATCTCGCAATGAGCGCCACGATTGATGACTTGGAGATGTTGATATTTTCATCTCGTGAATTGCCACAGAAAGACTGGAGTAAGTGATGAATTTCTACCTTCCAAGTCTTTATTTGCTTCCCACTGAACCAAGATATGAGTAGTATTCAAACACTTAATAAAGCTTCAACTTGCAGGGATTCGTAGAAAATACTATTTGTGGGGCGTGTTTAGAGCCAAGAAGCGTTCACGTCCAAATATACCGACACTGACTGCTAACTTCATTGCACAAAGTAGCAGCACCCAGAATGCAGCCCAGAGTTTGATGAGTCCGTTGAGCGTATTGGAAGGTGTGAATAGTCGGGAGGACTTGGCAAGTCCCTTGAGCTCCTGTTCTAACAGTATTTCTACAAAAGATTCTCCTGATATGTTGAACGCAAAGAAGCAAGATGTTGAACAGCAGCATGACAAATGCAGAATACAAACAGCATGTGATATTTATGTCTCTACACAAGGTGAAAAGTTGTCTCTCATTTGCAACAAAGGGGTAATGTTCATAACTGTACAGCCCTCTTTTGGGTACAAATAGTCTTGTAAACTTCCAAAGTACTGAAGAATTTCCTTATCAACATCATAATAGCCTGAAGTGCACCTTTCTTAGCGTTGAATTTCAAAGTTTACTAGGAAAGCGGCGTTTTGAAATAGAAAGTAAAATGATGTATTATAACTGAATTATTCATGACACGCCTATTAGATAATCAAAAATCTGGAATTTAACAATAGTGACTTCTCAATTCATTAATCTTCCCAAAATCTATGGATTATTATGCTGTAGATAATTCATTGCCTACTTCATTAATCTCAAACGAGAGAGCAGTAGAAGATAATCCGCTTGAAATTCGATAACGTTTAGATTTTAAAGGATTAACTCTTACGAGACGGATAGAACCTCGTCTTTTTACACAATTCATAAAATGAATAGTCCGTTCATGTCTCGATTTCGAACTTTGAGAATGGAACAGTTCCTAGAGGGAAACTGAATTAATTAGTTGGGGCAATGAGTTTGATATACCAAATGCTTAAACAAAAAAAGGTATTATGGGCAATTTACAGCTATGTATTATAGAAACTCTCTAGCATGTAACAATACTACTTAATATATAGTATACTTTCTCACTGCAATCTTGAAACTGCTGAATGTAATAATCAGTAGTCCAAAATAGAAGGACTAGGAATATAATACAGGGGTTAGTCAAAGCATGTACGTAAAACAATAACAAATTTAACACTACAGTGACATTTTCTGTTTCCTTCTTTGGCCGTAATTGGGAAGAAAAGAACCGCACAAGCACAAGTGAGCAATAACATGGAAGATGACAGAAAACAAGAAAACAGCATAATGGGAAGAACATATGCATTGGCACAACTGTGGCACTTATGTATTGCTAGTTGCTACAGAGTAATGATTTAGATGATATGCAAACAAAGTGTCACTTTGAATATTAATAAGAAAAAGAAGCTACATATAAGATGTAGAGATAGCGTGATGCTTTTGAGAAAAACCCTGCGGGGTTGCCCAAAGCCGACGCCCGACAGTATTTAGTGTCTTTGGACTGCCATAACCTTACAAACTGGTATGAAACTAGATGGGTATGCAGATGGCGGAGAGTAGCTCTCATTTTGCAGTCTAGTGATTGGTCAGAATTTTGTGGCCAATTGCACAAAAATATGGTACCCATAAGAATTTTGTGACGATCACCATAACTTGCAAAATTATGGCAACCGTCAGATGTCTGACGAATAAGACTTGCCCAAGAATTTCTGACCAACATACTTCAAAATTCTGACCGGAGACTATTTTTCCAAGATTTTTTTCAAAATTTTAAAAAGTGACACCAAATGATCCTATCTGTGTCATTCTCCCCAAGAAGAACTCTATGGGCTTTAATTAACAATAAATACTCGGATTGTGTGACTGGCACACATTGAATCTCCAAATAAGCCCATGAATCTTGGTGATCAGTCATGTGGTACTTAGTTCGAGGAGAAAATTATTAGGTGTGTGAAAAAATCCTACAACAGAAATTGATAATTATACAACAACAACAACAACAACCCAGTATAATTCCACTAGTGGGGTCAGGGGAGGATAGTTTATACGCTGACCTTACCCCTACCCTGGGGTAGAGAGGCTGTTTTCGATAGACCCTCGGCTCCCTCCCTCCAAGAACTCCCCACCTTGCTCTTGGGGTGACTCAAACTCACAACCTCTTGGTTGGAAGTGGAGGGTGCTTACCACTAGAACAACCCACTCTTGTCTAAGTAGTAGAAATACCCCTCAAGATATTAGGCCTTTTTGGAGAAATTGTGCATGCTTGACCCAAAGCAAATAGTATCATACTATGCTAAGAGTGTCCTTGCATTGGCTTAGCCCAACGATCACGACTTAACCGTTAAAAAGATGAGAGTAACAGTAAAGATGTCGAGTAAAATTTTGCCAGTGGGAATAAATGTTACAGAAAAATTTAAGGTAACAGAACAAACATCTCCTATCTAAATTATTGTGGAGGTTCAGTGCAGGACAAAGTGAAGAAGTATGGTAGAAGAAAATTAACGCCAAGTATGGCATGTAGAGGGAATGGTACATACTAAGAATTTGTGTAATGAATTCTACAATTTGGTGAAGCTCAAGACACTGGTTGGAAGTGCTCCTCTTAAAGACACTTCAACTGAACATTATGGTCTTGCAATTCGTAAAAAAGCCACCACTGCAGAGAGTAAAATCGGAAATGCTTGGGACACATGTTTTAGTAGAAGTTTACGTGACTATGAATTGTGAATAGTAGCAGTGGCGGAGCCAGAAGTTCATACAATGCAAGGAGATTCAAAAAAGTAAAAGAATGTCACACCTAGTATTTGAACTAGCGATCTAAAGTAATTTTTGAATCCCTATGCCATTACACTATAAACTTTTCTATGTCAAGGGAATTCAACAGTTTATATATAACAAAAAGGTATTTTATTTTCGCCCTATTTGCACAGTAAAATTTTCCAAAAGGGATTCAATTTAACAGCCTTGGCTCCACCTACCTAGACTCCTGAATAATTTTTGTTAGAAAGCTAGAAGGCCTTCTAATGCAGAGAGGACGACCTCTGCTGTGATGTGACTGACCTCCAGACGAGGCACTGCTAAAACCACCTGAACCACGGGGCCTCTTGGCCTCCCGCTCGAGCCTGCGGAAAATGGTTTATGTGGAGAGCTAGAAGGTTTTCCAATGCAGAGAGTAGAAATGGAAATGCTTGGGACATATGTTTAGAAGTTTACATGACTAGGAATTGAGAAGGGTAGTTCAATTTTATGGAAAGATACAAGAGACTCACTTGAACATCGTGGTCTTGCAATTTGTAAGGCCACCAATGCAGAGAGTAGAAATGGAAAATCCTTTGAGCATCTGTTTAGAAGAAATCAGAATCTGATTCTCTTATGGAAGCAGATAAAGTAGACAGATTCTCATTAAAGTTATATTACAACATCCTAATCAGCACATGCACAATAGAACTGATTTGGACCGGGAAATTAATAACAACAACAACAATGACAAACCCAGTGGAATCCCATACGCGGGTCCGGGGAAGGTAAAGTGAACGCATGCCTTATTCCTACATTATGACGGTAGAGAGGCTGTTTCTGAAAGACCACCGGCTCAAAAAAAATGAATAAAGCAATAAACAAACAGTAGCAACAACAAGGTAATAAGACACAGAAACAAATGGTGCAACGTGCAATAACAAATATCTAAGAATACGACGCTATCAGAAATGAGCCAATCCGGTTGGAAATAATGACACATCGTGTAATAGCAAGGGGCTATGAATAGGGATATACAAGACTAGTACTAATACTACTAGAAAGACCAGACGAAACTCTAGACTGCCTATCAACACACAACCCTAATCCTTGACCTCCCCACCTTCCTATCGAGGGTCGTGTTCTTGGTTAGCGGAAGTATAGCCATGTCCATCATAATCACCTCACCCCAGTATTTCTTAAGCCTTTCTCTACCGCTCCTCTGACATGCCATGGTCAACCTCCCACACCTCCTAACCGGGGCATCAGGGTCTCTCCTCTTCACATATCCGAATTTCCTCAGTCTCGATTCCCGTAACTTATCATCTATAGGAGTCACGCTCACCTTGTCCCGAATATAATCATTCCTAATCTTATCTCTCCTGGTATGCCCACACATCCATCTCAACATCCTTATTTCCGCTACTTTCAACTTCTGGACATGCGATTTCTTGACTGGCCAACACTCGACTCCATACAACATGGCCAGTCTAACTACCGCTTTATAGAACTTGCCCTTAAATCTAGGTGATACATTCTTGTCACATTAAATACCAGAAGCGAGCCTCCATTTCTTCCATCCCGCTCCAATACGATGTGCGACATCCTCGTCAATCTCCCCATTACCCTGTATCACAGACCCAAGATATTTGAAACTCTCTCTCTTGGGGATGACTTGTGTATCAAGCTTCACTAAACTTCTGCTTCATGTGCCCCAACTCTAAACTTACACTCCAAGTATTCTGTCTTCGTCCTGCTCAACTTGAAACCTTTAGATTCCAGGGTTTGTCTCCACACCTCTAGCCTAGCATTAACCCCACAACGCGTCTCGTCAATCAACATTATGTCATTGCAAATAATATACACCATGACACCTCTCCTTAAATGTGTCGCGTCAACACATCCATTGTCAGGACAAATAAAAATGGGCTAAGAGTTGATCCTTGATGCAACCCCATCACCACTGGGAAATAGTCCGAGTCTCCTCCCACAGTCCTCACCCGAGTCCCAGCTCCAGGGTACATGGACCGGGAAATTAATCCAGAGAGGTAAAGCACCAGTAAAGGTGACCTGCTTTACTTGGATAACCACATGTGAAGCATGATAAGGGACTTCAATACATGCATTAGATGTTACATGTGTAGTAGCTGCGATGAGAACTTAAGATATCAGTTTCTACATTGTCATTCAGTTGTCCATTATAGCATCTGGTCTTGAACATTTTTGGTGTGCAACAATGATGCCTAAGAATGTTAATGGCATCCTAGAAAGTTTGACAGAGACAGGATAAGGAAATTGCAGGTGCTTTGACATCGATGGACTTTGCTGATCTACGATTCTCATAAGGAAATCTAATCCTGAGTAACTTGTCAATATTCACCTGGTGCTGCTTTTGTAAATAATCCAATTTTAATAGGAAAAACATCTGCGGCTGTAGAATCAGCAGCATTCAAAAGGTAACCATCTAAAGATGCCTTTACATTAAACAAAAATGGTCAAGAATGGACAATAAAAGAAAGAAGCACCTCTAAAACTCTGTAAAACTGAGCCATTTTTGTGCTTAAAATAAATTTATGAGATTAAGGTCTACAAATGTCAATGTATAACTGAAAGTCACAATGTCACCTAGCAACTTAAATCTCCAAAACTGTCCGGACTCTGACCGGAATTTTCTCCTCTGTGGTGTATCTATCTGCATCTAAATGGCCACCATTCAGCTCTACACCTTGAAAATCAAGAAGAGGAAAAAGGGAAAAAAGGCTTTAACTTGAACTAGTTGTATAGGTATTGAGAAGAAAGAATCCCCTGATCCTAGGCTCACTAGGAAAGCTACATAAGGTAACATTTAAACAAAATGATGTGTTGGATATTCATGCTCATATCCATTATAATCATAGTACAGCCGCTCTCCCTTAGCTATATCACGAACCGCAACCAAAAGAACGCGGCATTCACCATTTACATTGTATCTCACGCATTTCAGGTTCTGCTTCTTCTTACCCTCCCTGCAAAAATTGGAATAGTCTCAAGAACAGTAGGCTGGTTATTTCAATTCTTATAAGATTTATCGACATGATATGGTGGTTCAGCATATCACAGAAAGAAAAGACTTCAGAAAGCCAAGACATATGGAGGAGAAACGATGGAGACAATGATTGAGCTTAAGGAGGTTAGGTTGAGGCTACTGGCTTACGGTGTATGGTTATTTATGCCATTAATGAACCGAGTAATGTTTCCACGCTTATCAGGGCAGATAACGAGACTTCTTGATGGGTCTCTAGCTAAAAGAAGGGTCATCATGCTATCACAATCGTCCTCCTGCCGATTCCTGATATAATCCACTTCGCCAGTGTATTCTGCTATTATTGTCAGGTCCTTTATAGGCCCATCAGCTTCTACAGTATAGCTGCATTAATAAGACAACCTTTACATTCTATGTGCAAATAGAAAACAAACAGAGAATAAATGCACGAATAAACTAAGTTAACTAGGCGTACCCTTCACGAGAATCAAAAACTACCATGAGAGGAGGCCATTCGCCTCTTTTGCACATAGTTCTGCACTGCTCCAGGGTTTCAGTATCTTCTTTTGAGAGAACCTGATACAAGAGGAAAACATTGCATGCTGAAGTATGATCTAACACATTTATAACATTCAAAAAGTTATAGAATAGACCGACCGACTATAGGACTGAGAGCAAACCTGCATTCCACCACTTTCAAACTTAGCACAGTTAGCAGATCTAGGAGCCATATCAGGCATGTAAGTAAGCTCATCGCTGAATTCCATATTGAGAGCCGTCAGTGCAGAAGCAAGAGATGTCATTTGAACTCGCCTCCGGGGAGGATCTTCTGTTGGAGTAAATGGCAATAGCCTTCTGCGTCTCTTGTGGAAAACTAGTGAGCAGCGCTTCCGACGTTTTCTGCTATCTGTTGACAATGTAAACAGGGAAGGATGGAAAATAAGAAACTAACAATAACTTCTGAATGTATAAGGAAACAATTTCGCTGGCTTGCAATGGATTACAAGGATCTCTTAGCAAAGTATATATACGGACACCTCTGATATTAGAAAACAAATCTGCTTGCAATGAAGTGTAAAATCTCTTCAATACAAGTCATCAATTTACATTCTCCGAAACAGAATGACGAAAAAATGAGCATTATAGCATGAGATCAGGAAAAGAAGAAAAACACAAGGAAGTACAAGTGTAACTCATCTTAGTTTCAAATGTAATATTTGTACATAGATCTTCCTAGACAAGGGACATAAGAACATCTTTGACATTATTTGCTAAAAATGGTCTAGGATTTATAGCAATCTTAATAAAAATGGTCTAGTATAGGATATATATCTAATTGAATAACACTACTTACCGAAGGGGAGCCTTGGCACAATGGTGAAATTTGCCGCCATGTGACCAAGAGGTCACAGTTCAAGCTGCGGGAATAGCATCTTAAAAAAATACAAGGTAAGACTGCGTACATAAGACCCATTGTGGTTAGGCCTTTACCTGGATCCCGTGCACAGCGGAAGCTTAACGCACCGGGCTGCCCCTTATTTCGGATAACATTACTTAGCAATAAGTCAACTAAGGAGAAACATGAAGTGCAGCACTGACAAATGGCTCTTTACTGAATTGAAGCATCAGTGAATTGACAAGCATATGTTCATATTTTACCAAGCAATTTCTGAGCTAACCACTGCTTAAGTGCTATCACACTATATTATTAACTGAAATATGCAAATCATACATTTGTCAATAAGGATAGGTTCCTTAATGAATTTGGTAAGTAGTTGCATGAGTGCTTCCCGCAAGCATAATACTTACCTCACACATGAGTGGTTTGATAAAAGCATATATCAATCAACAGCCAACTAAGCCTCAATCCAAACTAGTAGCCGGATGCGGAGAAAACAGAATGCTCTACAGACAAGCATATACCATATTTGTCTGATCAGTGCAGAAAGTTGATAAAAAAACATGCTCATTGAGACAGGTTAAACGTCTTTCATACATGCACAAGTATAGCTATCACAATGGCAACAGTCACATTTTAGACATTAGAACATCTAAGAAAGTAATCTTTTGTCAATTATACCTTTTCTTTTTCTTGAAACTTTTGCTCTGAAAGCAGTTATGCTGTTGTAATGTGTTAGCTTCATGGGTTATTCAATTCAAAGGGACAAATTAAGAAAAGAACGGCAACTTATGGTTCCTTCAGAATAATTCAGAGATTACTCTTTTATTACTTCTTTTGCAAATCGCTTTAGATAATCAAATGACATCAGACAAAAGCTATACTGCAAAGACAGAAAGACAATTATTAACAAAAATTCATATGATCAAAATGATAAGTTTACTGTAAGATTTTGATTCCACCATCAAATTTTGGGATCATCAATGCTGACCTATAGAAACTCATCGATCCACCAACTTGAAACTAAAAATAGAAACAAAGGAGAATATTCGAAAAACTTTAATCGATATCAAAAGAGCAAGTGGGAAACAAACTCTA